AAAAATAAATAAACATGAGTATACCTTCAAGAGTTTTGGCTCAGCGGCTATTTCATGATCAATTTCACAAACAAGACAATCGAATTTTTTTTCAACTAATCGGTGTGCTTTATTTTTATTTTTATTTTTATTTTTTTTTTCGGACTGCAAGAACTCGTTCAATTGTAATTCCCGTTTCGAAATCTGAATTCGTGATTACCTGAATTACAGGAATCATAATCGGCATGTTTCTTTCTTTCTTTCTTTTTTTTTGGGGGGGAGAAATTCTATTTTGTAGGCGTTGATTTCGATCTCTTGATGCCATGATCTTTTTTATGGAGAGAGAAAAGGATAAGGTAATATGAATCGTAATCTCAATCTCGTATATATGAAATATAAATCACAAACTAATCTTCTTTTGCTTAATTTTTGTACGAGCCGTATATATGTAAATATATACATAAGGGGATTCATGTATGTAATTTTCCCTTATATTAAAAGTAAAAGTTGAAGCTTTGCTTGGCCATTAAACAAATTGATAAAAAATGTAATATTAAAATTTAGAATGTGCAATACACATGCACAGATGTAAATGAAATACGAAGAAATATATATTTTCACCCCACTCTAAAGATAAATTTAGTTTTTCAAACTGTCAAATAATAAGTTAATTTTTTCACCTCAAAGTACGAAACAAATTATGCGATAAACATGCAAAGATAATTCATAAAGTGTGAAGATATTATTGTTGGGGTATACTGTAAAAGCTCAACTTTCAGTTTTTTACAATATCATTGTGAATGAGAATTCACGTTTTAGTCAAGTGCATGTTTGCAGTTAAGTTATTTATGCGAACAATGTTCCATCATTTTACATTGTAGATAATATGATTCCGAGTGTGGAACAGTAAGATCATATTATCGGTAACAGACAAGGGGATCCTCTGTCCCCTTATCTCTTCATCCTGAAGCCCTGTCTAATCTTCTTGTTCAATCTTGTTTGAGGGGTGAGTTTACGGGGTTAAAAGTCAGTAAGCATAGTCCTAATCTTAGCCATTTCTTTTTTGCTGGTGATGTGATTATTTTTTGGTCAAGCTTGAGTGAGCCAAGTAGCTTTCGAGCCAAACGCGTGATCAGCTCCTTCTTGAAGTCTCTCCACCGAATTCATTCACCCTTTTTTCGGTAGACTCTTGAGATCCATTGCCACCATATGTTCACTTCACTTTTTAAATAATATGCGGCGTACTTCACACATTCAGCCCCTGGGACTTTATTGAGGTCGCAATATTGAGTATCTTGACTCAACCACGCATTCGGATCTGTCCCATCGAAGGTGGACAAAACTAGCCTCAGTTTTTCGAACCTCAGCCTTTTCTGGTGATTTGAGCCCCTCGGCCTCGTGGATGGTTGTCTGTATCGCCTTCAACATCGCTGTGATCATCCTCCAAAGATGAAGAACCCTCCAAAGATGTCCTACACTTGTCCCATTTCCGTGAACGTCGTCGTTGCCGACTAGACTGCGTGAATTACGCAATCTTCTTGGTCAGGCACTCAGTCATGGTTTGGATCGAGCCTAGCACCAATTTGATCAAGCTGGGCCAAGTGCAAATTGGTGATGGGTCGATCGTCCTTCAAAGTCTTCAATTAATCACGAATGGAGCTTACTTCGTAGCCTGCGGACTTCATACTCTTCTCCAAAGTATCAATCCTCTCTCAGTGTGTCATGATGAAAATATCTTTTAACTAATGATCAAACTTCTCACAAACTAAAACATTTTTTTTAAACTGCTCGCGTAAACTAGAAATCAAAGAGAAAAATATACATATTTTCTTAATGAGAAGACACACGATCAACACCTCTCAATAAAAATACCAATGATGAAGATCGTGTGCCTCGACTCCTTGGATTGCTTCGGAACCCGCGACGATGCCTTGAATTCTAAGTGATAGCTTGCTGATACCCGCGCCGACGCCTTGGTACTTCGCGATTATGTGACAAAAGATGCACAAGAGGCCTTCTTTTGACACATTTTGTAAGGTAAAACTCATGGAAATTCTAACACACAAGAGGTTTTACCCAAGTTGGACGATTTTCTTATTAACTCAACGATATGAAAAAACTTAATAATAAGACAAGGTATTTAAAGAAAATAACTAAGTTTAATCCTAATAGAATACAAACTCTAATCTATGAAAAGTAATATCTGGTCCTAAGGTAACTAATATCTCAATAACTCAAAATAAATCCAACTCCTGAATAATCAAGGAACAATTAAACAAAACTCTTAATTAATATGCTAATAAAATTGGCTAAGTATTCTAGAATAATCCTCGGCCTTTTGGAAGCTCGATCACTTGACCCGCAAGTCATCCACGTGTAGGCGTCCACTCTATGTCGTCCTGGTCGCGTGCGTCCCTGTCTCGAGCACGTATCCGCGCGCGCTCGTGCAATTCGCGACTCGTTGTTGTGCGGTCACACGGGCCTGCTCTTCTCGCTACGCACAGTCTCGTCCCAACATACCCGTGACGCACGCCCACGCACATTGCGCGCCCCGCTGTTGCACCTGTTCACTCATGCCTTCGCGCAGTCTTCTTGGGTCTCCTCGGTGCTGGTTGCACAATCTTTTGCGTACACCTCCTAGTCGCATGTTGGTTGCTTGGTCGACCAAGGCGCTGTCTAGGCCCGCTGGCCTGTTTTGCCACGGCTATGCCGGCTTGCCATATCGATGTCGTGCGCTCCCCTTCATCATGAGGCATCGTCTCGTCCGTGTTTGTTGGGCCATGCGTGGCCATTTAGCTCCTCGTGTGGCCTTGCGCAGTCGCTTAGCCCGTTGCGCGGCCTTCCTTGGGCAAGCACGTTGTGCCCGACCATGTGCGTTTGAGGTCGTGGATGCTCCATTGGCATCAATGAGCTACAACGCACACTAGCGCGCGAGACCTGGCCACGCTCGTTGACTAGCACACCAACACGCACGACCAACGCACCAGCGCACACCAAGCGAGTCGTCCACACACCAGGCGAGCCATAGCGAGTCCAGACAATCTCCAACAGCCTGGGTGAGGTTCGGTACCAGTCCAAGCAAGCCTAAGGCGATGCGAGATGTGACTCAGACACCGAGACGCGTGACGCAGTGAACGCGATGGACGAGCGACTTGACAAGACGAGCACAACAACCAATAAGGCAAGAGGACGAGAAGCCTGGTCTGAAAAACAACTCAAAACCGTTCGTCCAACCCCATAGGTCGTGTATGTCTTTACAGAGTCCGGAAAAACATAAACCGTAAATTCTGGTCTTAACTATAGATTCTAGTATGTTATGATTTATTTATAACAGATTTGGATGTGCAATCATTGACGTTGCTCATATAACCCAACAATGTAGGACCAACGATTAGGTAAAAGAAACCTTAAAAGATATTAATATATTTCACTCGACCCATAAAATCATATTTAATTTACTGTTTTAAGACAAGATTAGCTGAATTTTACATAGTAAGCACTCCATAG